TGTACGCGCGTGTAACCGCGCTTGCCCGCAGCGGCAATCCTCAGTTGAAATACACAGCGGGCCAAATGCCGGATTTGCGAAATCGCATGGGCGTAAATAACCGCGAAATGAAACGCAGAGAACCTGTTTGCCGGAATCCTCCGCTGGGATCGATGCACTTTGTTTTTTGTGACGCGTGTCACTCAGGAAGAGCAAAACTTTAAACCACGAAACGTACTTTTCTCGTGGTGTAAATTTAAAATGCTGAAATTTTATTCTTATTAAAACATAATGATTTTTAATTAACTTTCTCACATTTAATATAAAAAAATACATCATTAGCACAATCAAGTTTCTTTTATCAAGAAACAATTTAAATTAATTATGAGATTGATTATTAAAAAAAATATTACGATAATTTCAGAACGTTCTAGGTTTCTCACATATTCTATACATTTATTAATATATTTGACACATAGATATACTAATATGTATACTAGCATGATACACTAGTATGATACTCTTAGCTTTTAGTTTTACTTGTTAACACCTACGCTTTAATGCAGCCACAGCACGGTATGCAACAGCTCGTGACCATTTCGCATTCATTCGGTTTGCCTATCACGTGTGCCCAACAGTGGGCGTACCTTTGTTCAAAGCAAGGGTATCATTGTCCTTATCAACTAAGCATAACAGAACCCGAGTTGAATTCAGCGTAATTTCGTTACAATGTTTCATTATGCATCTAAAATTAATCAAAATCTGATCTTTAATAAGCTATTCGTTTCTATCAAACTTAAAATTCATCAATCCTCTTTATTTAATCGTGAATAATCATTATGTAAGAAAGACTATTTACAAAAAGACCAGCACAAGTGAAAGAAAAGGTTTCGAAGAAATATCGTCAAGGCGGATATTGTTGTACCCTTTTTCATGTCACTATAGAAAAAAGTTTGTGAACAAGAAACCGTGTAACATTTGTCTTTTAAGTTTGGTAAGAAGATCGATTGCTGTTTCAGAACAAAAAAGAAGTCGGAAACTGAAGAAGAAACTGCCATTATAATATTTAATTTCTAACTATTCATTTCAAATTACTTCAAAGAGTAGTAAAAATATTTTATATATCAATAGATAAAATTAATTATTAATAAAACAATAAAATTAAACCAGTTATGATATAAAATATTTTTAATCGATCTTTGCAATACAACATTAACTTATTACAGATTGCACGAAAAGCATATCGTAGCATATCTACTTATATAAACAAGTGCAATAATTTTAATTAAAATCCCAGTAAATATGTTTGTATTTAACAAAATGTAATGATTAAAGTTACCAATAAAGTTACCGTTTCTAATTATTGCAGTAATATTTACCTCTTCAATTAAAATTAGATACAGACTAAAAGTTGTCATATATACCATACAATTATTTAAGAAATATATATAACATTAAATATTTAATATATTTATGTATATGTAATAGTTATATATTTATAATAAATATTTAATGTATCTATATTAATTATATAATATAAAACTTAATATGTCACATTGATAACTTCAAAGAGAAATGCTGGGATTATTTCCTCTTCAATTTCGTGCAACATATCTGATATCAATGTACAATATAGTCCTTTTATATTATACTTAACAATGGATGCATGGATAATTTTTTAATTCAACACGTTGTCTACATCCATGAATCAATGCAAAGCATGAGTTATACGTTTAATAATAATTTAATTTAATTTACATACATCGTATGTTGTACACAGTATTCATGTAGTTAATTAATTATACCTTTTAATAAAATGATCGAAATATTAACACAAAATTAGTTCTAACATCATTAATATATTTACCATTGTAACTAAAATTTTGGAATTTTACACATGCAAATGTATACATTATTGTCTACTTAAATATATTCAAAGATTATTTCAAAGCTTTTTGAGTATCATTTTATGAATAAAATATTAATTAATTTTAACGTCACATGTCCAAATTAATTAACATTTTATTCATAAAAAGATACTGGATAGCTTTCGAATTTGTATTATTTAACCGATAAAAATTGACAAAAAAAAAAATAAAGTATATGTAAAGATATTAAAAAATTCGTGCTCATTAAAATTATCTATAATGACTAATATTACAACATGCAGTGAGGTTTGCAAATATTCTTTCGAAGAAAGTATGAAACATATTTCATTTGATTTTATGAAATATGTCGCATATCATATTACCCTCAGCTAAAATAAACAGATTATTTGCTGCCGTAATACGTGAAACATGTTTATTATAATATGTTCTTATAACACGCTAATTTATGATACATCAGTAAGCAAAATTAACAAAATTGTTAAAAATGAAAATTGATAAATGCAATATATTTTCAACAGAAATTTATTATGACATTACTCGTTCTCATATTAATTATAACCTAATTAAATATGTATAATTCATTATAAATATTATCTTTCAGTAATTAAATAAAATATTCAGCACAAAATAATTTATTAATCATCTATGTTAACTGAATTTCAAGATGTGCGGCTAAATAATTTTAATGAGTCTCTATCTATTTGATAAGTACTTTAGACAATTATCTATGTTAATTATTTTCGTGAAATATATTCAAATTGTTCTCTTCAAAATTGCAAAAAGTTATTTATAAGTCAAATTATATTATTCTCTCTTAAAATTATTTCAAGTAATTAAAAAATAACTATATATATGTATTAGCTCACACATGCATAAATAATTAATGATACTTACCTTTCTCTTACTTTTGCAGAAAATTTCCTTTCAATCTGTTTCCATCTCAAGAAAATACAGGAACATATAACAAAAAATCAAATCTGTAACGTAAATAAAAACATATTAATAAAAATTTAGCAAAATTGTTACGAATAAAAATGTATGATTATATGGAATAAATAAATATCTGGCTCTTTATTGTGTAAGGTTATTTGTTAATAAACAATGCGTGCATAATGGCAGTCATTTACTCAATTTATTAAGATATACAGGCCGACAGTTCCACTATCTATATCTAATTATCGGTTCGTGTGTCATCCGAGGCGATGCACCCGGTACATAAAAATCATTTGACATAGTGAAATCGTCGGACATGATACATTAATAACATTATTATAACTTAATTTGAGATATAGCTACGATCGCTGCAGCCTCATTGGTATTCTATTGAACGACGTTATCGTACAAATACCGCCGTATCATCTCAAACAGTATATAATATTCACAACACACGCCTTCTACACTCGATTTAACAAGCGCAGCCTCGAGTCATCCTCTCAAAGACGACGATCCAGACTGATCACAGCACAACGTATCTACAATATTTACAGAATTAACAGGGAAAGGCGCATAACATGTCACATCCGTATCGTCTAAAATCGAACGGCATGATGGCAATTTATGATATGATCAGGTACAACGTAAGAGGAGATTCAAAGTGGTTGAAGCGTCGCAGAGCATTCTCTACGTACATATATGCCCATAATAGCCGCACACTCGCGTCACGCGATGGACAAAACGAGAAGTGAAAAATAGGAATTTGCGCGAATATGATAATCGCTTTCGGAGATGCCAATCAATTTTTTGAGAATAGCGATTCGAGAGAGATATTTATATATATATATGTGTACGCTCTATATATATTCAACATTAATCGTAACAAGAGTACGCGTTGCACCTTTCCGGATTGTTACCGTTTCTGATAATCGCGGTCGCATAACCGCGATAGAAACCGATATTTCACTCCATCGAAATGTCATAATCGCGCAAAAAGAAGCCACGAAGCTCTCTGCGTCACCGTCGTCGATGATTCGAGGCTACTTGATGTCTAGCGTTAATTCTTTCCCCAAAACACACATACTCGGGTGCGAGCTTACAGATTTTCATTGAACTCTGTTAGCAATCGCATCACGCAAAACGCATGTAGGACCATGTGCTCGAATTATACTTGCACTCCTTATCAATCCTTATCAACAACTAATTACGAGGTTACCGAGCGATGCGTCTCGACACAACTACGATCCGTACGTATATGTATATATATATATATCTATATATATATTTGTTTATTTATATCTTTTTATCATTTTATGCATACGTATATGTATATTTACTGAATACAGTTTCTTTGTCTTTCTCGTGATATGGCAAAAACGCCTACATAATATAAAAACGTCAACAATTAAAATGCATTAATGTCTCTCAATTTTTTCGAAAGAAGATAATTAATTATCGCCTAATGATTACTGAATGGTTTCATAAATTATGGCAAATGTGCATGACGTTTCGTTTCACACGGCGTATCGGAAGCTGATAATATGTGAAAAATGTATCGGTGATAATAGTTACGGATAGTCAAGCATTTGAAAAAACGTTACTTTTGAAGAACGTTAATACGGTGGCCAATCGTAAATCCAAATATTTTTTCGGGAGTTGCGTGTTAGGAAGATATTATGGAGATCATAGTAGAAAAAATTCCAGCAGATTCATCATTGTGTGCGAATTATCAAGTTTCGCTAATCTAACACTTCGATTTATAGATAAAAAGAAGAGGCGGACACGATCGCTGCGCTAGCCGGGGATTCTCAGTCCTCGAAATGTCCCGAATTTCCAAGGAGAAGTCTCGGTTTCCTCATCATGGACTAAGTGTATTCCCAATCCCCGAAGCTATTCAACGCGGGATCACCTGATAGAAGGACATCGCGGGTGACGAGTCTCTCTCAATGTATGCGCTGCAGCATCTCTCCTTGACGTTTCTGTTCAAGAGAGTTCGTCGAGACGGTCGCGGAATGGGAAGCTTGTCCCGTACATAAGAGAGTCAAGTCGCACTATTTTCACACGATCAGTCGAGAAAGCCTAAATGTAACTTCGTACTCACCGCATATATACTTACACGATATATTATATATATATTTATATATTTATATATTCATATATATATATATTATTTCCATATATATATATTTCCTTTGCGCTTTTTTTCTCTTTGTATAAGTTTACTTTTAGTACGAAAATAATTTCAAGCGCGACGCGGTTAGTATTCGTCCGTCATTTGCCTGATGGCACACCGGAACCACGCGCGCACCAGCTGTCGCCGGCCCGGATGCCGACCAATAAACACTAGAACTGGAAGCCCCGTTCCTGCGACGTAAGAATCACCTTCGGATGGCCGATACCAGCAATGACAGAAGGCTCGAAATGAGAAGGATGAGCGGCACACGATGGGACATACCCGAGCTCTGGACGTCCGGCAGCTCACCCGGTGGCCTCATCGATGCTGGGCCGAAATCCCTATCGTAGTCTGGAAACAGACGAAACTACGCTGCGGTTGTTCTAGCAAAATGGAACGATTATGTGAATATAATAAAAAAAGTACCATTCTTTTTCGAATATACAATAATTAATAATTTATTCGCAAAAAGAACAGCTAGATAAAAGAAAGTAGAAAGAAACGTTGAAATATGAGACCTAAAATATTACGTTTTGTTTATCAGTTCTGGAATATAGATTAGTTAGAAACGATCAGAGTATACGCGGTCCTTAGATAGACCTCTAGATGTTATACTATAAATTCAAACATAAATTATAAATAATCTTACTAATATATATAGTACACATTCGGGAAATTGAAAAAATATATTATACATCACTTTGACCGATTTAATTCCATTTTTATCTCATATTCCTACATTTTCTTCTATCGAATTATAATTTATTATTCATGATAAAGTCAGTAATTGAATAGATATAAGTGTATAAAAATACCTAAAATGTCTCTAATGATTATGTATTGTTCTCTGTAAAACGCGATACCGTAAAACTTGTAAAATTAAAGAACTGATAAAAGATTTTTAACGAAGGCATGTATAATGAATTTATAAACGTAATTACTTCCACTTATAGATGTCATAAAGTTCATTTGCATCAGTCATAATGGTATTATATTTGTAATATAAATACACACATATATATGTGTATATATTGTATATATATATATATATATATATATATATATATATATATGTATGTACATATATACATGCGACAAACTTATCCAACTCATTATACGACAAATAGAAGATCGAGCAAGAGAGAAACGCGAATAAAATAATTGTTCACAAGCATCTAGTCATACAATTCAATTGCAGGTTATTTTTATGAATTGGAATAACACGTTTGGAGAAATTTGATCGATTATAATTCAATGTATAATCAATTACACACCATTTTAGTATATTCGTCACAAAAAGTTCTTCAATGTATTTTGCTACACACATATACGATAGAAATGGACATTTAATCAATATACGATAATTAGAACGATTTTAAACCTGTCCATCAATTTCTTTTAAATAATATAGATTACGTATCATCCAATTTTATATTTATGAAAAGAAAACCGTTTAGGTTATTAATAAAATTGTCTTAACAAAAACCTAAATTATATATTTATTCATAACAAATATGTTATTTATATATTCGAAATACAAATTTTACTTGATTTCTTACTAATAAATATAAAATTTACACATTTGAAAAATAAATTTCGTTTCTCTTATAAACGTGTGTGTGAATCTTGAGCAAATAATTTATTCTATCTAGTTATAATTACACAAAAAGAACGATTTAGCTAAAGTATTAAAAAAATTACAATTGAATACAACTGAATACAGATTAAAAAATAATGTTATTAAACCATCAAAATAATAATTTAACGAATTTCAACTATAATGAGTAATTGAGCAATGCTTCGATAATCAGCACTTAAGCATTTTATAATACATAATTATTTTGATGATCCCACACAAAATAATTTTCAGATCTGTACCGAAATTTTTAGATACCTCAATTGCCCATTCTTTTCGTGTACGATATTTCATATATATGACAAAAATATAGTTTTATGTAATAAATAAAAGTCAAGCGCTGCTGATAATAAAGAAGGCAATTTATTCATCGCCCGAGAAGTAATATTCTCTTGCTCCAGTCAATAGGGTTAGCCGCAGGGCAGACGACCATCGGAATACCGTTCGCACTTTGTATCATCGACCGCGAACACCACCACCGTCGACACGTTTTGGACAAACTTCTTGGCTGTATTTTCACGTAACGTGGCCAGCAGCACCGCCGTTTGCCAGCTGCGCGGCGTCCGGAACAAATAGTTGGTAGCGCTTGAGAATACGCGAAAATCGTCAAGCTCGGCGGCTCATTTCCTCAGTGGCCTCATTCTCGGCGCGACCGAATACATGCACGTACGGTAACGAGCGGATACGGAAGATAAATACGAGGAGTTGTTGCGGATAATGTGAAACGAGGGGGGGGGAGGGGGGAGAGGACAAAGAGAAAGGGGAGTCAGGAGGAGAACCGTGAGCCGCCGCCCCCTCCCGTGCGCGTCCGGGAATTAAATTCGAGCGAACTCTCGGTTCTACCGGAATTTCTGCGATGTTCAACTCGCGTAAATCCCTTTTTAACGAGATAAAACCCTCGGCGATGAGGAGCGGCCGGACCCCCGAGAACGCAGGAAGGGTAAATTCATTTGAGATTAAATACATCCGACGTCTGTTAAATCGGCCCTTATCAACCGTTACCATCAAAGAAACGCCGGATGAAATGTTACTGGATTAATTGCGGTGCCGCAGTAATTCGCAGATGTGTCTTGCGAGCTTTTTCATTTGTTATGTGGCGAGAAGAGCGATGAGACACGTAGTGAGATACGTAGCTAAGAGCTGCTACGCGAAGCGCGTCATGATATATTGTGCTTCCGGTGCTGAGCTACACACTTGAAAGTCCTTAAACTTTAATAAGGTTGTTTAAACAAATTTTTACGCTTTAATACGCGAAAGAAATAATCTTCAACAGTGAGTTTACAAACATAACGATTATGCCTTCTCATAATATTGTTCAGTATAACAAGCAAAAATTAAAAAAGTATAAAGCTCTGATATACGTAGAACTATTAGGCGTAAATTAATCCTTGAATAAATTTCATGATAATATTATTAATATAGGAATTAATTTATACGTTACTTAAATAGCATATAAATAATTATCGGTAAATTCTATAAATACCTATTATACGAAATAGATTGAATGGTACGCAGGCGTCAGAAACTTTAGAAAAAGCTCTATTTTATTCGATTAAACTCACATCTACCAACGGTAACTTTTATTGATTGTCCGAACTTTGATAAATGAATTGAAGTCGAATCAACATCGCCACCTGTGGCACTAATGTATAGTCAGTAACATTATAGAAACGAATATATCAATGACGGTAGACCATACATCAGAATGTACGATTATTGCGGTGATAAAACTTCATGACCCCGATTACCTTAATGACTTCCACCCACGGCATTATCAAATAATCTAGGATCTACTCCCTTGTAACAAGTTGCATTTATTAACAGCACTACTATCTGGATGAAACAAAACTTTTACTCGTTTCATTAGTTTCACTTTCAAATCGTTCCATTAAAATTTTTAAAGTAGGTCATAATGACAAAATTGTTATTGTGTACATCTACCATATTTAACAAATGTTAAACAATATATTTCTAAAAAATATATTTTATATATATAATCATTAGAAATTTTATTTTATATATAATTTGTTAGTATTTCATTATATATAATAAATACATAATTTCTGAAGAAATTATTATTATTTGTCTCAAATATTTCAATAAAGTTTAAACTTAAATCAATCATTTTCTAGAAACTTTTCGTATTTCTTAGCACGTAGACATTTAGGACGAACGATATTATCAAAATTTGTTTTCTGCAAAAAGCCAGAATGTAACGACTTGAGAAAAATATCCTTTTTTTGCTTTTTTCCTAGCATTGGCAGATAGTCGTCCCAAATGCAAGGCGTTTCTCGAGAGTAGTTCATCGTGCCCCTCGGCTTGCCCGCCAGGAACGGACGTCGAAACCGCACGTCCGTTCGGAAAAAGTTATTCCCACCTACCAGTAAAATCCACTGTACGTGACTTTCCGCATGGTCGGCGACAGACGAGCCATTTTCCAACACTTTAACAACATCTTTACTGGCATTTTAGTCTGTACATTCTCTTACCATTGATTATATTTCAATCATTTGGCTTGAAAATCGCTTCAAGGTACTCGAACTTCTAATTAATTACAATGAACCTTAAGGTAAATGAATCTTAAATCGTTCGGTCACTTATCGAAGATACGTCAATAACTTTTATCAAGTGATTTATAACGTAAAATAATTTACTATACAAGTCAACAAATTTTAATCGTATCCAGATATAATAGATGTTTAAGAATTGTTTCACTGGCATATTCTACATGCATAATAAAACAACATAACAAGTTTTCTCATTTAAAATTAATTTTTATAAAAAATCGCGTCACAAATCTCCTTGATTATTCTCAATCAAGTGTATGCTATCCAAAGTTAAAACAAGTGGTCTTTTTTAAAATCATTCTATATAATTTATGATTTAAATTCGTAGGTTATAAAGTGGATGTATATACGTACTAATTGTTTTTATAACATTAGATAAGAATTAATTATTAATTGTAAGAAATGGTCGAAAAAAAATATAATTGTATGCACACGAGACAAGACTCTCAAAGTCAATTGATTTTTAGAGAAGGAAAGGAAAAAACATAAAGTGAGAAAAAAATAATGGAAGAGTTTGCCTCTCTCCATTTCCTTCTTTCCACTTCCTGATACCAGAGGTAGTAGACGGCCGCGGGTCAACGCAGCTCGTTTTTCATTAATTGAAAGTAAACTTCAGGAAGGGAGAGCTAGTCGACGCTTGGGGGAATCTTTGAACAAAGTCATTCCAAGTGAGTTTTGAACTTGCATTCTGCCGCCAATCTCCGTCAGCTGGCTTGTATAATATAAGAATCTGTGAAGTGCTTGAAGTCGTTAACGCGCGAAGTCTACCTTTTGCAATAGAAATCGGAATCGATGAAAATACTGTGGAAAACGATCCGTGTAAACAGATTTAGACGGTGAAACTTATACGTGATCATTGTTTGAAAAATACGTCAGATTCTGAAAAAGAAAAGTAGCGATCCTTTTTTGCGTTTGTCGATGACATCGAAATGCAATTGAATGCCCCGCGTGGAATACATTAACTATTATACTATGGTCAAATTTCGAAATCTGGGGATAGTAAACTTGTACAAAGGATTTACGTGAAAATGTTTTAACAGACATCTTGTAATCCCTTGTAGTTTAACCTGATTAATACAAGAGCATTGGTAGTGGAGCACAGTATACGTATACAACAATTTTATATGTACAATATAAAGTTATAATGATATAAATATAGTGTTATTTTAAAGAACACTTTATAAAAAAAAAGTATAATAATTATTTGATATTTTTTAATAAATGTATTAAATATTAACTAGACTCAGTGTGAGTCCGAAATAGGAAATATCGTTCAATATTGTATGTTTTTTCCTAATGAATGTTGAAAAAAAGTTTAATTAAAACTTTTTAATTTTTAATCATTTTAGTTGTAGTACGCAAAAAAAATATTACGCAATTATTGATCTTTGCTCAATGAGCAAGCAAACAGTCAGTTAACGTACTCGTATATTCTCACGTTAGATTTTACGACAGCGAAGGAATGACCGCAGAATCCTTCCCAGTCAATAAAGGGGGCCGAGTAACGCGACGAAGTAATTCGCTCGCGGATAAAGTGGATCACAGAGCATTGCCAATTTAGTGGATTTTCTCTCTTAGGCTCTCCCTTTTCCCTTCCCTCCCTTCCCCTCGATCGTAGATCGTTGACGAGGTTTTAATTACACTAATTACTCGAACGACATGCCGGTTCAGACGGAACGTGTATCGTCATGGGAAATGCCTGGGCTCTACGCGGAGCGTGTTAAAATAGATATTTACTGACCTGGATTTCGCCATTCCTCGACCTCGTAGTCGAAAGGTCGTTGATTTTGTCGTGATTTCTTGTTACTGTTTCTACCTAAAATGCATTACACAAAGGCGGTTTTACATTGGTGCTCTACGGTAGGCTGCTGCGAACGAGGAGTTGAAACGGATGGTTTTACTTAAGAATCGAGAAATAAATGAATGCCGGATTTCTCTCTCAGAGGCTTCGCTCGATCCTAAGTTAAAATATTATTTCTACCTATTTCGAGATCCATATTAAACGCTTCCAGCGGTTTAAGGTAATACTGCATTACCTTACCGCTCAATTTAGATCACGACGTATCTTTTCTACAGCTGTGTCCTACATACTTATTGTATGTATAACAAATATAACTGAGACAGATATAACTGATACAGACATAAACTGAGGAACGATATCAATATTTAAATAAATTTAGTTACCATTCTTGTGAGCTGACGTTGCATCGTATGGCTGCTGTGTTGTAGTTGTTGTCGACGGAGCTGGGATTTCTGCGTTAAAGTAATTAAGTGGTATACTTTAATACTAAATTCGAGCGCTCAAGAATGTATAGAATTGCATTCAGAGTAATAGATGATACTGAAGATATACACAAATAAGTCAAGTATCATTACGACGTAGAAGTTTGTTAGATTTTACGATTACTCTTCACAAGTCCATGATGCTGAGACACGTTGAAACGGTCTACAATTGTTTTCGCGTGGGTCGTCGGTTAAACTAAACAAAACTTCCCTTTCTAGTCTACTATTAACGTTGTCAAGAAAACAACATATTTCGAGGAGTTTCTATGAAACTTCTCGAACTTCCGCGTCCTATCATGCTCCACTTTGCTTTTGTGTATTATTTGAAATTGAGATCTTTACAATTCGCACAAGTTGATATATCAGTTTGTACTTAGTAATATAAAATTTTTAAGAAGACTTTCTGTCTGCTTTTTTGATGATTGCATTATATCTGATAATTATGTTAAATATAAATTTAATGAGCAATTATTATGATTAATGCTCGTAAGAGAAGTCTACTCAATCTCGTCTATGCTCGTTAACGGCAAAGACTCAAATATCTTTAAGTAACTTACTATTGGAAACCAATTATTTCACCATTAGCGCGCAGACGTCGATTTCAAATAATCGATCTTAAATAGACCACAACTTGATATCACTTTGCTCGATACTTTTTTAATGCACAATGTTAAACGTTTTTTACTCTGTGCGAGGATATATCTTTATCGAATTTTTTACTTGTATCACATTAGATATGTACTGATATCCTTATTATCATCGTTTTACGACTTACCATCTAATTTGATGACACCATCCGTTCCGCCAAGAGAATTTTGTGCGATGCATTTATACGAACCAAAATCTTTCGGACCGACGTTCCTTATCTTCAGTATCATGTACCTGTTGTAACCACTGTCGGTGGCTACCGCATCGTACTTGTCGCCTGAAACAGAATTGCCTGTGCAAATAAAACCAGGTTCTCGGGCTTCTATTTAAAAATAGAATTGTGAAATCGTGAGAGATAAGAGGACGATTTTAAATATCATACAGTCTACATGGAATTGTTCATTTATACGTTGTGTGAAAACTTCTAATAACCATTTGTTTACGTATTTATAATTTTCATGCTTGTTCAGTACGTGAACAAAATTTTAAAATATCAAACTAAACTTTTAAATTTTTGAGTCATTTTTTAGAATAAAATAATTTTTTAGAATAAAATTAATATTTGATTTTCATTTATTAGACTGTTGTAATTAGTATCTACTTTTATTTATGTGCAATTTTATTTTATTTATTTATACAATCTTAAACAAGTAAACGAAGACTAGAATATTCAATAATATTGTGTAATAATATTGCATAGTGATTTTTGTAACAAAATTTTTGTATGCAATCAACAAATATGCAACAACAGTAATATTTTTAAAAAACTGAAATGTTGCTTTTCGCTGGAATTCTAAATAGATATTTCAAACTTATCAGACATGCAATGGTTGTAGGGAATGTGTGCATTCGGATTCTTAAAATTACCAGAGACTATCATGTCGCCGCGTTCGGTTGTCCAATAATTTATCGAGTTCGGGTAAGCTTCAGTATGACACTCGAGGGTAACGTCTTGTCCAATATACGCTCCTTCCAACTGATTTGGTATAGAGAGCATGGGTGGAACTGTAACACAGAAATGATATTCATCATGAATTATGTATATATACTTTCCAGTTGCTAGGAACGATGGGACGCAATGAATAAATTTGCATTAATATGTAAGACAAAAGTAATTATGGGAAATGTGAAAATATTTCAGAGTTTAAATTGATTATAACAACTGAATTAACTAACGATATTCATGAAGCTTGTTGTGTGTGTGGGTATGTGTGTGTGTGTGTGTGTGTGTGTGTGTGTGTGTGTGTGTGTGTGTGTGTGTGTGTGTGTGTGTGTGTTGTATGTTCTATATAATTTTATATTTAGTATGTATATTTTTGTAAAATACAAATGCAGCACAATACTACAAGTAGCCAGCGGAATTAATTATCTCTTGCTTGAGATCAGACCAATCCTAGCAGTCTGATGTTTGTTAAATGCTAATCGGAGAACTCATTAAAAACAATGTAGAAAGCTTATACAAATATGTATTCAGAATTCTCTTTTCCTCTCTAAGTTACAAGCCGTTTTTAACGTCCGAAAATTCAGTAGAACCTTGCAAAAAACCTGGCAACGCGCGGTATTGCATGCAATTGCACATATGCTCATCTTTGCTTTAGAGGTTGTCACGATGTAAAAGCACTGTCCAAAAATAAATGCCATTGCATGCAATGCGGACTGCATGTTGACTTCATCAAAAAATTTTCTACTGAAGAAACAAAACATTTACGACATAAAAAAGTTCTTCTTTCTGCGTATTTATTTCAATTTTATTCAGTCTTTTAATGAGACGTTTCAAGGAAATGTTTCTATCGATTTGTTTTAACTGCGAATTTATAATTTTGAAATACGCAAATTACATTTTACAAATTTCTTATAAAAGAAATCTCTTTTACATAAGCTGATAAAATTGTTTATGAAATTCTCTTGCAAGGAATCCATATATTTTTATTAAATTTATCATTCAGTTTATACTGCTAGTCAAGATTCATGTTTATTGTTTTAGATTATTATAACTAAATACTTGTAGTATGTTAAGAATTTTAAAGAAAATATAGTATTTTATATAAAAATTCAATTGATATTTGATATTGGTGTATCTGGTGTACCATAAATGCACGACTGTTCTTTCTCGATCGATACTGATATCTCGATGTAGGAATGGGATTGTGTCATAGTTTCATCTTTTACGAACGGACGTAAATCGCGATTTACTAGTAGAGGGTGCACTTTCAACATAGCTGCAGAGTTTTTCCACCTATTTCCCTTTCAAACTATCCTGCTGAGCTATCAATAAATCCGTTGACAGAAACGAAACTACAATTTCATATATATTATTCAACATAATTTAAAAATATATTTTTTGTTTACTAAATCTTTCAGTGACACCGAAGTGTTTAAAAGTTTGATCCGTGAGCCTGTAACGTTTAACATTTATAAATATTGAATCAAGAGCACTCATCCAATAAAGATAAAGTACATATTATCTTAATATCTCTATATATCCGAATAATTTACATTAGCTTCAGATTTCAATTTTTCCCGATATCTTAAAACATTATTTTCTTTTAAAATTAACTATCGCTGGAACGAGCTCAATCTTTATAAATCTTCGTATAAATTGTGTTATAATTGCACACGATCTATTGTAAAAAAAAAGCATAACTATCTACTAAAAATAAAGTCACCGAAAAAGTTAGACGATATATTTCTGTGATACACGGCTGTTATTAATTCACGTCATGAGTTAATAATACTTGTGCGTTTATCATGCCTCACGCACCGTCAGCAAATCAACATCCGAGAGAATGTACTACATATGCCATATAATATTCCCGAGAAATCCCCGAAAGAAAAATACTATGCCGTGCCTGGGTCGTAAGTGGCCAAAATAGTTGACGCAATTCGTGATCCTCGTACGAAAAATACGCCGTTTGAGGCTTGAATTTCTTGGACGATTATTAATATTTGTGTTCGCTTACGGAAAGAAAGCGCAGAAGTGAGGAAGTAATGTGCCAGAAAAGATGGCGCAGGGACGCGTTTCGCACCCTAAACTAAATGGAATCCAAGAATTGTCGGTAGATGGGCGACGGTTGAAATAGGTTCACCGGGAGGAACGGACGTATATCGACCATATCTGGGTCAAGTAGCCACCCATAAATTGGTGGCTAAATGAGACGTTGAAAACCGACCTAATGCATAGCGCATCGCGCGAGAATACTTCTACGGATGAAGAACAGCCATTCTTCAACGAATTGTAGCTGTATTCGTCAAATAAGATTGGTCCCGTCATTTAATTCCTATGTTAATAAAATGTATTCTTTTATAGTTATCGATATTTTCTCTCCACTTTATAATACATTACGATAACACTATTATTCACAAATTATACGATGTATTAATAAGTGACTCAAATTACGTATATAATTTTTCGTATATGTATCTATTGTTTCACACAAACATTTTTAATCAATATTAAAAAATTTGTATCTTCAGCAAGAAAGTTATTCTCAAAAATATAACTTCCATGTGAAATAATACGTCATAAATTGTAATGTTATGTCAAATCTATGCACGATAGAGAATATAAAATACTACAAGATATTTATAATGCTACAAGACTTGTTTGAAATTATATACAGCATGCAGTTGGTGTAACGTTGAGAGATTAATAAAAACTAGTTCACAAGCAGCGATATTAGCGTAGTTCATATATCAAAGAAAAGTAGTGGCTTTATTTCATTTCTAACGTTTATGAACCACGTCGAGTTCATTAAAAGTATAATATATCCGACATCGTGCTTTACTGCTTCCAGCGACCAGCATTTACCAAGTTACGCGCGCTTCGCAATCGGGGAGGTATGATAAAAACTGGATTCTCTCCATCATCTTTTCTTATCATCTTTTCTTGTACAGAAAAATACGCCGGTATCCTTATGCGACAATAGTCGCTCCTTTCCAAGTTTTATCCTGCTCTTATCATAATACCAAAGTGCACAGTATTACGATGACATCGTAGTTTTCGCTAATGGCATATAGATACGCAGAGAAATCAATAGTGTATGCGCCAAATCCAGTGCTCAATAGTATGATATTGATGCAAAATCAATATAATCTATACTAAATAAATTCCTAAAAATATATATATCCGATATTGACACTAATACTATAAATACAGCGAAATAAATAGAATCACGTGAAAATTGTATATAAATGTGTGTGTGTATTATAGAAATATTTACAAAAGTTAGATAAAATTATTTTCATAGACAGATTAATTTTAAAGAGCTATAATATAAATTAAGAAAAAGTATATTATTCTAATTCTAATTTTTAAACTATTTAATTAAACATATATATATACAATTTATCAATAATTAAATATAAAACAAATAAAAATATAAAACATTAAAAGTATATACTCATTCATACATAGATATTTTAATTTATGTTCGATCCGACACGATCTCGCGAAGTTTCGATTGGTTCAGTTTCGAGATACTCACGCTGTGGAAAATAATTCCTACAAACTTTTTCAATCAGAGAAATCAATATTAAAATCGCTGCCTTTGCGAACTATTGGTTTTATCTGAATTCGTTACGTTAATGGGCATGGATGGGCACGGATCCATAGCTTTACGAATATTTTGAAATGTTTCTCCTACCGGTATTTATAAATAAATATTAAATTGTATGGAAAATCGTTCGATTTTATTTTCTTTTTTTCTTTTTTTTTTTTTTAATTGTATCGCTGCACGCGATACAATTCCTTTATTAAGAACTGCATTGTTCATATTACGTTATTATGTACAGTAAATTCAAAAATTTCAAGAAATGTTTATGCGCGTGATGGGAATTCTTTGTGAGAAAATTAGTAACTTACATTGCACACGTAGCGAGACGCGCTTGCTCACCGATGGCGGAACGCCGTTTGAAGCTATGCATAAATAAGCTCCCATGTGAAGACGGCTTATCTTCACGATATGCAGCACTTCGCCATCCACGACATTCACTGGAACATAAAATGTTCACATATATTAATATGTAAACTGCAAAAGCTTTAGGAAAACGCATTTAATATACTCTTCTGGTATTTTCAATGTTTATTGCAACATAAAAGTTAAAAAATACAATTGTTGTAAACTATAATATAAAACCTATAAGCAATTAATTAATAATCGAATTTTTAATTAAACGATACTTTTTAATTAAAATGTGTTTGCATTGTAGATAGCAAATCGCTGAAAAATCCTCTCGTATCATATTCCGCCCAAAATAATTATTCTATAACGTGTAAATACAATTTGGCAAGCGCAGCTCGCCGTGATTGTAATTTTTCTCACGAATTAATAAGCGAAGTGTATCATGATAATATCAGTATTATTCCGAAACGTATTGATATCGATAATGTTGACAAAGAAGGCAACATTTATCGGAGCGCAGGCCGCTGAAAGCACGCGATGCGCATATGCGTCGAAACTTTTATTGCATGTCGTGTGACAAAGAGCACTTTGCGCCTTGCTAGAGAGCTATTTGCATCTACGCTGCATTCATTTCTGGCATGTTGGTTGATATGACTGGCGCAGATGACATATAAAGCAGAGATAGGAGGTAGATTAAACTCTGTAAAGGCGAATTATGTCTGTACTCCGTCAAGAGAGCTGCTAGCATTAAAGATAATCGCGTGCCAATAATCGCATTATTGCCACCGATTCTATTCGATTCAGATCTCAATAACAATAATTTCCGACGCGTGAAAACAAAGCAGGTACATAATTAAATGTTATTGGATATATTAATAAATCCTCAGAATATTTGGAAAATCAAATTTGATATTTCTTATCGTATGCACATTATAAATTTTGATTCTATGTAATTTATTCTCATTTTAAGAGCGACTACACTATTTATAACGCATTACTTGTATGCATATCAAACTAGAACGGTGGATCAAAGCAGATCGTCATATTAACGGAGAAACTGCTGTATTTGATGGAATGATCTATGCGTTACCTCGCTGTCGTCACTTAATAGATTGCATATGACATGCGTATTTTATCTGGATATAGAAATTATATATTCAACGAATGTTTAGCATATGTTGATCGCATCGATTGAATCATTTTCTATCATACATATTATGTAAGTAATATTATACTATACGTTATACCGTACAATTTAAAATGCAGATGATTCACGTAATATGTAATAATTAGTCAAAAGAATTGGGACAAATGTGGAATTTATTAATTTGGTGTAATAAAATTTCCATTTAACAATTTCACAAAAAAGTTTTTTCGAACTGCTATTATTTATTACGTGTCTTTGTTAGTGTATCGCTAACTGAAAAAAAGATTGGTTGCTACAACAATTCAGATAGTAAAATATGGCATAACATT